CCCCCCTCCCTCCCTCCCTCCCCCGGCTCTCTCAGCTTTGCTGCCACCATGAACAGCTGCCCTCTGCCATCTGCCACTCTGCCTTGGAGCACCTGAGTGTGGACTGAAATCTGCAGTAACTGTGAGCTAAATAAACCTTTCCTTTCTCAAATTTGAGTGTTGGGTATTTGTCCCAGAAACAGAGAACAATGAGATAGACCTCCTGGGTTATTTTCTTATTTTTTTTTTTTTACTAGCACCTGTTTGCAGGAGACATGGTTACACTCCTTATGGGGAGCTGGTGCAGGTACCTGATGTCCTAATACCTTTCTCATCTCTTTCCACTGCCCTCCCTCCATCTCCTGATCCCCTTCATATCTCAAAAATATCTACCTCCTTATCTCCTACTACCTATTTTTTCTTTTGCTCTGTATTTATATTTTGAGCTTTTCAGTTAACAGCAACCACGTGATGGCGAAGCTTTTGCCTCTCATTTATTTCCCTTAACATTACAGTCTTGAGGTACCTCCGCTGTCCTACAATGACTCAAGTGTACCTTTCCTTATGGGAGAGTAGTACTCCATTAAATGCCACAATTTCTTTCTCTACTGTAGGACATACAGGCTAATTCCAAGGCTGTGCTGCTGCCCTATGAACTGTTCTCCTATAAACGTGGACATGCATGTGTCACAGTAACATGGGGCCTTTGATTCTCTTGGAAGATTCCTAGAAGGGGAACAGCCTGTGTCAAATGGCTCCATTTTCTGAAGACGCTGCACTGATTTGCATGTGGCTGTGCTCGTGGACATTCTATCAACAACCATCCATTCCAGGCACCAGTCCTCTGGCTGAGGAACTACTGGCAAAGAAGCGGTTCCCGCTCTGCAGGGTGTCTCTTCCCTGGGAGTTTCTTTTGCTGTGCAGAAGCTTTTCAATTTGATTTGATGCCGCTTGTTGATTCTTGCTATTATTCCCAGAGAGTTCTTAAGCTATAAGGAAGTGTATTTTCATACTCACTTTCAACATAACAATCTAATAGTTACACAGCCGGGTGAATGGTAAAGAGGTAGAGAATAACTTCATTCCAGCTTCCTAAATATGCCCACGAAGCTCAGGAAGCAGTCAAGGATGACCGACCACGAGGCCAAAGACGATGCCACGTGGGGAGGAACCAGGGCCACCTCCCAGCTCTGTGGCCTGAGGTGGCTCTGCAGCATAAAATACTTTACTTCATGGACCATCTTGGAGCATCTGGTCTTCAAAGGTATCTGCCTCTGCTCTTCCAGTTATAGCTACAAACCCAGGCACTAATCAGGGGTTGTAGCCAAGAGAACCGTGTCTGGATTCATGTCAGGAAGGTGACAGAACCACTAAGAAATACAATCTGGACGGGCCACATCAACACAAGCCAGGATGGAGGCCAGCGGCCCAGTGTTCTCCAGCTGCTGGACACGCAGACTACACCTAGTTTACATTAGGTGAGCCTGTGCAGGGGGACTGAAATGAAATGGTGACTTCATGCCATGGAGATCAGCTCCTGCCTGGCTTTTTGTCTGATCTGAAAATATCTGACTGTAATGATGTGCAGTGGAAAATAATACAGATCAAACAAAAATACCATCAATAAACTTTCTGCTTTAGAGAAAAAGGATCGAGCTCATAAAGCTAAAACCTATGCCCAGCAGAGGGCACTGCAGCCCTCTGGAAAGCCAACAAGACGCACAAGAGAAAGTGTGCGCAGCAAGAGCTGCAAAGCTCTGCCTGACCACCGGGCTCCGCTCCACAGAGGCGGTCAAACGCAGGTGGAAATATGCCAAAAATGATGTGCAGGTACTAACCATTTAACATGTACTAACAATTTAAAAAATTGTCATTCTTCCCTAAACAATATCGTACGACAACAATTTATCTAGCATGTATAATGTATTATTATTATAAGTAATCTGAAGACTTACCTGGGGGTGCAGACTATACACAAACACTACACCATTTTACACAAGAAATTTAAGTGTCCATGGATTTTGGGAACTGTACGAGGTAGCTACTAAAGGACAACTGTATTCTAATTCAGGAGGAATATTCTGTGCTCAGTGAGAGTATCTTTTTAGAAATGCCAGGCAAGGCACATTGCCTAACTATGGTGTTCCTGACAAGACAGTACAAGAGAGAGCAATTTTTTTTTCTGTATGTAGGACAGGGTCTACAGGGTCTCACTACATAGACCAGACTCGCAGTGCGCCTCCTGTGGCAGCCTCCCAAGCGCTGGCGTTACAGGCGCACACCACGGCGCCCGGTCTCAATCACCGGCTCCGCACGCCCTGCGGGTGGGGCCGGCACAGCACAAATGGAGATCGAACCGGCTGCGGCCCTCTGTGTAAGCAGGCGCTGGAGTCCGCTGAGTTATCAGGCCAGCCCAGAAAGAGCAACTTAAATCTAAAACAAAACAAAACCGTGGAAAATTCTAGCTTTCTAAAAATCAAGAACCATATCATTTCTTGGAGGACTGAGGTTTCTGTTGTCTTCAAGATGGTAACTCTTGTCCTTATTTATTTAGTTTGTTGTTGTTTTTCAGTGTCAGGGTTTGAATTCAGGGCTAGTGCAGGCTAAGCAAGCACTCTGCCACCATATCCCCCAACCTTCTTTTCTTTTTTGAGACTTATTAAATATGCTAGCTTTTATTTTTATTTTTTATTTATTTATTTATTTTTTTTTGCGGAACCGGGGATTGAACTCAGGTCCTTGCACTTGCCAGGGAAGCACTTATCCTACTGAGCCATCTCCCCGGCCCCAATATGCTAGCTTTTAAAGAAATCTAACTCCCATTCTCTTAGACCTTCCTTTAACTTATGCAAAGCCACAATGCTGATACAATTATGAATGCTTTCTGGAATTTTCTGTACACATCTGTAGAACAGATACAGTTGTCAAGTGAGATTTCCTGTTAAAAATAACTGCTAGTCTAACACTGTATCACTGATCTTTTTCCTCCTAACAACAACATGCTGGTTCTCACTTTGAGCAGACATGGGAGTGACCACAATGGTCTGCACAGCTACTGACCAAGAACATTTATACTCTCTGTAACAGCAAGTTTCAAGCATGGGTTTTAGACGTATTAGAAAAAAACATACAAATAAGTAAGAGCTGTATAAAATTCACATTTTTCATCTATTATCATTCATCTTATAGGTACATCATTGAAATCATGAAGGTAGCAACACTTCTTTTTTTAATCCAAGTACTTAAAGGTTTTTTCAGTCATAAGTTTACTTCTGGAAATTTGAAGGATACCCAAAAACTTTGTTTATTGGTAACTATTATATGAATACGCAATTCAGCATTCATATTGATCATTTCTTGCAAATACACGATGTAAAAAGTTAGCAATTGTTAAAAAATAATTAAATGAATAACGCATCCTGGAAGATTACCACAAACCTGCCTGCCACTTAGAAAAGCCATGTTCAATGTTTCGGGTTCATATAAAAGATGAAAGATAGCAAATAAATCAAACAACTCTAAACACAGCTTTTATGGCCCCATTTGTTCAGCTGAACTTAATGACAGGAAGACAGACAGCTTTATTTTTTTAAAAAAATATACCACCTACAACTTAGCAACTGTGCCTGAGAACGTCTAAGAGATTGCAGCGCCCGAGAGGTACTGCCAAAGGCACTGTCGGAACAACCACTGCGAAGAGTGTAAATCTCTAAGGTACTTTTCAAAACATTACCTCCAGAAATGCAGTTCAAATCCTTCACATTTTTCTTTGCATTTTAAACAGGGGGCTCCAAAGCCTTGCTCATGTCCCAAGCCCATCTGTTAAAGACAAAACATGGATCTATTATTACACTTTTAGAAATCTGAAAAATTTAATAAATTGCACCTTTAATTCCAGTTACCATTCTTGTTGATGTAACTTTCAAACAAAACTTTTGTGAACAGCACATTGTTTAGCCGACGATGACACTCAGGTAGTCAACGGCAATTCCAAGTACATATACAACATACTTTATGTCCTTATTGCTTTTTATCAAGAACAGAAAGAGCATCAAGAAACCACAATGGGGTAGACTGTGGGGTAGACTACGTCATCGGAAGTGAGGGATTTATGTCTTTGACCGCTACATGCCCCAGTTACAATAAGCACGGGGAACACTTGGAACGCAGTTTAGATAGCGAGCTTGGCCCTAAGTGACATTTTGCAGCGAACAAGGAACTATATGAAAGGTTTTAGGAATTAAAATTTAAATAATTATTTTACATTATGATAAATATAGTAGCAACTACAAACTTTCACTGAATGACAGAAAGAACACATCCCTTGTTTCCTCTTAGAATCATACAAGTCGTAAAACAGTTATGAAGTAAGAAATGGCGAGACCCACACAGAAGAAAGCTCTTGCCAAGGATCAAAATGGTGGAGAAGAGACCTGAATCCAGGACTTTCTGATCCCAAGACCTGTGCTCTCACAGCTAGGCCTGAGGAGGAGGAACCTGTTCTCTTCCCGGCATTACAGTGAGCCATTCTTTCTCTTGACCATGTTAAATAAGTACCCTTGGGAGCCTCCTGAGACACGGCCTAATAGGCCAGTGGGGAGGGCACAGGGCAAGCACATAAAGGGCAGGGTAAGCTCTTCTATACAGCTGCTTAACGATGACAGAGGGCAACTGGCTTTGCCCTGGCACACCAGCAAATCACTAGCGACCATAAGATCTCTCTCTCTCTCCCTCCCTCCCTCCCTCCCTCCTTTCTCTCTCTGTCTGTCTGTCTGTCTGTCTGTCTGTCTGTCTCTCTCTCTCTCTCTCTCTCTCTCTCTCTCTCTCTGTGTCTCTCTCTCTGGTACAGGGTCTCGCTACACAGCTCGTACTCGTAGTGATCCTCCTGTCTCAGCCTCCCCAGCGCTGGGATTACAAGCATGTGCCACCACAACCGGTTCCGGGATCAGCTTGGCATGTGGTACTGGGGATCAAACCTGGGTCCTTGTGTCTTCCAGGCAGGCAGTTAGACCTCTGAGCTATCTCTCCAGCCCTATTTCATATTTTAAATGTGACATTACTGGCTGTGACAAATGAATTACCACTGGATGAATAGTTTGAGCTGGCCAAATCTTTTTCAATGGCCTCCCATAATTTTACCAAACTGTGTTTATTATTATCACTATGCAACCAAACTATACTGTAACTTTTCCCCGAGATCATCCTTGATGCTTAAGTGAAGCCACTGCTTCTTTCTTCCTTTTTTTTCTTTTGGTGGTACCAGGGATCGAACTCAGGACCTTGTGCATGTCAGGCAGGCGCTTAGTCCGCTGAACTATCTCCCCAGTCAGTCCTAAGCCACTGCTTTTTATCTGACAAAAATAACCACACCCGTCTACTATACCGAACCGAGTCAAGCAGGTTTTAGAGTTTATACATCAGAGCATCACAAGCATTCTCCCTAATGCAGAAGAATCATTCAGCATTACTTCATCATCTTTATATCTACATTACCAATTCTAAAAAGTTGAACTTTTATAAACTGTGTATTTAATATCAACATTAAACTTTTTCCCAGAATCAAACTGTTTCTTGTCACTGATGATTATAATTTATAGCATAGAATACAGTGAGTAAAACAAAAGACAGAGGAAGCCTGGTTGAGTATTCTGCTCTTTTATATAGAGTGTAACTGAGCTGTCTCATTAAGCTATTCATCGTAAAGCGAAGAGTAAATCTGAAAGGTGTCCTTTTTGTGTGCAGTGCTATGAGGGAGAGGGTAGAGGAGAGGAAGAAGAAGGAACCAAGTGAGGGGGCTGGTGGAGATAGCTCAACAGACTACAGCGCCTGCTTAGGCAAGCTCAGGCAAGCACAGGGACCACGGTTCAGTCCCCGGCACCACATGCAGTGCCAGCCCATCCCCAGGGCAGACTAAACTGGCCACATAGCCCAGGCGTGGTGGTGCACGCCTGTAATCCCAGCGCTGGGGAGGCTGAGACAGGAGGATCACTATGAGTCCGAGCTGTGTAGTGAGATCCTGTACCAAATACATTTAAAGAAAAAGAAAGAACCAAGAGAAGGCCAGCTGTTCCTCACCTGGGACACGATGGCTGTTCAGAAAGGGAAAATCAGGTAACTAGATTACTCACACTCCAGACACGCAGCTGTGTGCAATTAGCTATATCGGGCATCAAAGAGATGATTAAAAAACATGTGACTATAAATACTAGCGAACACAACAGAGCTGAAAGCATGGGGTGATCAGTAAAGGAGAAGCAGGGAAACAGTGATCTCAGTGTCATGGCCCATCTCAGCAACTTTGAAAGTCATCTTTCTTTTATGGGCTTCATTTAGATAATGAAGAACTATAACCAGATTGACTCCAAGAAAATCCTTAATTCTACAATTATGATTGTAGATCATGCACAAGGTAAACTTTTAGTGTGGGCAAAGTTTAATCATTTGGCAGAAAATGATTCTTTGAGAAAGTTAATATATTGGTAGCTCTTCTAAGTCAGAATCACCTGAGGCTCAGCTTGAAGAAGCAATCTATACAAAGCATGTACGAAATTCTTTTTAAAAAGTTACACTGTGGCTTACACAATCCAGCTCTGCTGCCTGTAATCATTTCAGCAGCAAATATGCACTGGTACTCCCTGAGGAGTCAACACTTTGCGCCTAAAAACACATGTTTTTCATAAATGCACAAGTCCCAAAGCTGTCTACCTCATGTAATTTTAGTAACATATTCTGGCCAGCATCAATACAAGGATATGACAGATTAATTTTTCTTCTTCAGTATCCAAGAAAACAGGTCCTCTGGATTGACTATATTCGGAGAAACCACAGTCAGGCTTTGTGAATACCTACCAACGCCCACTGAAAAAAGAAAAATGACTAAACTATTTATCTTGAAATACTATCCATCAACAGACTTTCGAAGTATGCCTAACTGCAGGCTGTAGAAACTAAATTTCTGTTCCCATGATCTATGCTTTCAAATACCCTCTGTGCCCCGGCTTATTTTAGCAGTAATGAGAATGGAATCAATTTCTCCATTTTCATAATTTCAAGCAACCAGATAGGTTGGCAATGTTTCAGGTGAACTTCCTGACCCAGAAGACGGTACTGCATGTCAGATATGTTAACAAGAAGGGAGGGGGACGGAACATCTGGTATTTCAAACACGGTCTGAGTTGATTTGAAGACAATTTGGATCTGGAAGATATTATGCAGTATTCGGGTGAGATCATCTGATTCATGCTGTTTTCATAACCAAATTTTCCCCTGAAGCAAGGAATCATATGTGGTTGCTAAATAAACAAGTGTTACTAAGACTCCTTTAATCACCTTGGAATGAAGCTGACCAAAGTAGGTTATATGAAATGTATATATCCTGCATGTGTAACTGTGCGTGCACATTTACCTGTGTCACATTTAATGTGTCACAGCTTGGGGTTTCTGCAAGGGAAACAATATCACACAGGGTACATTTTATAATATTTTACAAGGAATCACCCAAGAATCTTATACAAGAAGTGCAGGAAATCTGTCCACACACTGAACAATCCAGCTGAGGGCCTTGACCCTAATATCCTGCATGAGGCCAGCTGAAAACCCAGAGCTTCTAACAATGCCTCCCACAAGTCCACCTGGAGGTCTACAGCACACAGTCTCATGCAAGCCCACTTCTCGGATCTGTGCCTGCAGGCTGCGGGATCTGAACTGGAGCTAGGAAACAATGCTCAAGGTGAGCACCAGAGCTCCCCCAAAGATACCACAGCCGTCCTGAGCAACAGTGAAGTCCCGAGCTCCTCCAGTGATGAGGAAAGCCGAGTTCTAATCAGGAAAGCCAGTGCAATGAGCTTCTCCAAGAGGCTGAGCAGGGCACCATCTTCCCTTCCGGAGCCAGGAAGCGATGCTCAAGATGAGGACCAGAGCTGCTCCAAAGTTCATCGGGAAAGCCAGCATGACCAGGTCCTCCAGCAGACCAGCCCTAGAGAACTAGCAGCTTCCAACAGCTCCAACAGCTTCTCCAAACAGCATCGCTAACAGCGTTTCGGCAGCTTCTCCTGTTCTGCCTTTATGCTGCTGGCAACAACCCTCAGGTGGGCCTCCCGCACCCAGCACCATGCCAGTTCAAGAACAGCTGGGTGTAAGAAGATGACCACCAGTTAGAATTCCACTACAGAGACTATGTATATTCACATAACACTTATGAAGAAGCAGTTTAGATTTTGCTTACCTAGATGAAGATCTTGGACAAAGGAAATGCATTTAAAAGTAATTCATCTCAGCACATGGCTATCTTAGAAATTTAGCATAATATGAAGTTGCTCGTCCCTTAATTAATATATTTTGATTAATCTGTAATACAAGACTTCAAATTGTTTGAAAGTTTTAGTTCACTGCCTATTTCCCAGTCTTTCTGAAGATTTGCACTATGCTCCTATGAAAGGGTGTTACACAGGAATTGAACTTAAATGTAGTTTTTAAAAGAGAGACATCCTTCAACTTCTAGTTTGCCAACATTCTTAGGTAAGAATAGAAATAATTTATTGTAACCTAGAACTACAATTAATCATTCCTAATAAAACTGTTATAATTTTTCTTCCTTTGTTTATAGAAGGAAAAATTTTCCATCTTTCACACAAATCTGAAGTGTATGAGAGCAAGAATGAAGAAGAAGGTGTCTCCACCCACCTGGCCACCCGCTGGGGTCCTGCGGCTCCTCCCCTTGTGCGGTCAATCATCTGACACTCCAAGCTTTAAGCCCTACTTCCTGCAGTCAGTTCCCTCCTCTCCACTCCAGTACGCATGCTCAAGCTCTTGGACTGTCCCCAGGAGCCCTCATTCTCCTAATGACCTCTTCTTGTAGACCATCCTAGTAGTGCTTCCAAAACTATTTCAATGAAACCCACAGGTGACCACAGCACTCCGCCT